TAGCTCCTTTGTAAGTACTAGCGAGTACTCCTTTGGCATTATACCGCTAAGGAAAAAATAAAAAGGGGGCGTACTTTTACTAAGAAGCTGTTAGCGTCCTACAACCCACACGTCCTGCCCAAATAATAACCTGATGGTGGAGCTGGTCATTCACCCTGGAGCTCCCCCGCCCTTAGGCTTAGGTATGGATGTCCTTTCTCCTTGTTCAGGACCGTTTCCGTACACGACTGGAGGTCCCAATTTGAAAGCACCTCACGAGTACTTCCACAGCTCAGTACTTATCAGAAGCAAGTTTCAAACGAGTCGGTTACGATCATGAGCGCTCTAATTGGTATCCTCAGTACTGGAGAGCATCACTAAGGCAGCGTTCAGAGTTAGCGTGCATGTGATTAGGCGATATTAAATTAAGCGATGATTCAAAAAAATTCACGTATCGATTTGGCGATTAGGCGATAAGAGAAGTATACACCAGATCTCTTGCTCTGCCTATTGACCGATCGATTAATCGCCTACTTGCCTAATCGCCCGATCGATTGTATTCCTTTCCTTGTAAACTAATCGTCTGAACGCCATGTAGATCGCCAATTCTGAACGCCGCAAAAGTTTCCTCTCCGAACTCTAGCTTCACCGGATTTCCGGGTATAGTAAAGCGGTACTCGGATACCCAGGTACCCATAGTTTCAACCGTCTGGGACGTTTTTACCACGACGGCTTAGGGTTTGGCCGATTGATTTCTGACCTGTGGCCGAACGAAGATTTTCATGGTTTGTTACGTCATCGTTAGATTCATGGGATGTGTTTGATGTCATTTCTTTTCGGCTTTGAAACGTAACAATTAAGCGAATAGTGCGATGCGTCTTTCTATAGGGCTGAAAACCTGTTTGAGACAGTCTCGGGTATAAAAGGCTGCCGCGGCAGTGCACAGTCATCCTTCACGTCATGCTCAAACTCGCCGCCCTCGCCTGTTTTGTGGCTGTCTCGTTCGCTCAGGGACCACAAGGACCGCCACCATTCTTACAAAACGTCAGTGTTTCATTCTGATTCGATTGAATTCTCTCTAGACTATTGCACTAACTTTTCGAGGGGGATTCCCTTGATTTGCAGCTTTATTAAACCAAATTTTTAGGCTCCTGTTGAGAAGCAGAAGGAGTTTGAGGCATTGCTGGCCAATGCAGGAGGTATGACCGATGCCCAGATCGATCAGAAGGTGATGGGCTGGGTTTCCCAGCAGGATGCGTCAATCAAGGTAAGCGAGTTGCAATGTTTCGCTTTCGTTTCCATTGATTTTCTCATCAGTTTTGGCCGGATCTACTTAGTAAATACTTTTTGTTGGAATACTTGATATCAGTGGAGTTCCAGAGTGCTTTTGACGCTTTCGTGCAGAAAGTGAAGGCGGCTCAGGCTCAAAGCGAAGCTGCTCACAAGGCTGCTGTCGCTAATTTCGGCCCGGAAGCGAAGGCGGTGAGTTCTATGACATCGTATTGGATTTGATCCCCTAGAGTAATCACATGTGGTTGGATTCTGTTCAGGCTGACGCGAAGCTTTCTGCAATCGCTTCTGACCCCTCGAAGACCAACCAACAGAAGGCCCAAGAAATCAACTCTGTCCTCCAATCTCTGCCACCAAATGTTCGTAGCGAAATCGAAACCGCAATGAAAGGCTAGAGGGTTGTTGTGTATATAAGAAGTGGAATAAATATTTGAAATTTCACTGCTTATATCGAATATGAATTTTGGTCTACCACCCCCTTATTCAATAACCTTTGAGGGCCAAAAACCTTCCCTTCCATAGAGTCCGATGACGGTCTATCTAAAGGAGTCGTCCACGAAGAAGGGTCATTGCCGCGCATATATTATTCATTTCACGATAAAAAACGAGTCGCAGTTTGTCCGTGAAGCGATCCGAGAACGGAGCACATTTATTCCGTGCGCATTTGGCCCCACCTGCCTACCCACACCGTCCCCCGAGTGTGGTTTTCTCGGGATTGTTTCTCTCCGAAACTAATTTTTTTGCAGTGAAACGTTGTACGTTGCCTCTGTTGGTCACAAACAGAAGTTTTCTGTTTTTTTTTACTTTCAAAAAACTCTAAGTTTCAGAATTATTCTGCAAGATTTCTCATTCCTCATAGATCGGAGAGCGATTCTGAAAGGACGAAGTAGTTTTCATTGTTACCGTGAAAGGCTCGCTCTACAAAACTTCTTGATCTAGGGTGATTTGTGCGCCAGATGTATTATCAGTTCAGGCGGCCCTTTACGTGCTTTTCAGCAAGACGGAGATGTCCATCGTCCAATGTGGCCCCATTCCTAGGTCGAGGGAAGTGAACCGTTCACTATTTCCTATTAAAAACGCTCCTCTGTGAGAAGTGATAAAGGGAGCGGACTTGAACTGTCCCAATCGCTCATTCGACGTTTTAGCCCTTTCTGTTTGTGTACACTCCGTCCCACCATTGTAATGAAATGGCATTGGACTACTCCGCGACGGGATGACGACGATGGGAAAATCACAACAGAATCCACCATCAACAGCTAGTTGCTCAGAGGTCAAGCCGTCTGCAGAGCCTTCCACGCTTTCCAGCAGCACCTCTTCAAAAGTCGGCTTTCTTTGGAGAAGGAGGAGCTTCTTTTTTGCATTCGAACACCGTTACTTTCCGTGTGAATTTATCCG